GCGCAGAAGATTTGGAGAAAAAAAAAAAAAAAAAAAAAAAAAGGAAAAACAAGACATGGCATTCCTACTGTTGCAGAAGCTATTTTGCATGAGTTCCTCATTAAATAAATCCTTTCATGCTTCTGCATTTGCCTTAAAGAGTTAAAATTGAGATTCAGCTTCCATCTGCTTTTCGTATGTAGGTCAGTTTTCTGGACTCTTGCCTAGCTCTTTAGTGAGGGCTGAGTGGGACCAGGGCGGGGGGGCTGAGCAGGATGGGCTGACAGTGGAGCCACAGCCTGGGATTGAGCCGTGTGTCTGACCCGACTGACTCCTGGCAGCCTTGGATGCTGTCCGTGTCCTCACTGTGTCACTACTGCTCTATCCATGTGGCTCTGGTGTTGTGTGGAACCGAGAAAGTAAAACCCTTACTCCCTGTGTACAAGCCACAGGGTTTTCAGGCTCCTTCTTTTGATTTTGCAATGTCCTTTGCGTCCAGGCACCCAGGTAGCACAAATGGCTGTCACCCCTACCCCACCCCAGGCTCTTTTCTTTCTCAGGTTGCATGTCCTTTCCCTGCTTGATCAGCTTTCTCGTACTATGAGACAACCCTAGAAATCACATTCGTGTAACTAGGGACCACAACCTCTACTGTTCTGTAGCAAGTGCTACCCCCACAACGTCACATGGTGATTTGACTTGCGGCCAGTTTTTAACATCATTTTTGCCTGGGCTTGTGTGGCTCACGAGAACGCCCCTTTCTCTCTGTGCCCTGCAGCATCCACACGAGGCAGCACGTTGCCTTCTTCCCCTGGACACTCTTGCAGCGTATGCGATGAGATCGCTTGTTGCCCCCACAAAAGCTGTGTGTGCTACATGTCTGACATGATACAGAAGCGAACTCCTTCCCTGGAGCAAAACAACAGAAAGGGCCAAGCGCGAGGGAGGCAGCCTCGTCAGCGTAGCCGAGGGGCGCGGGAGGCTCCTGGGCCGTTCTGGCCCCTCGCGCTCGGCTCTGCAGGGGGCGGGCGGCAGGGAGCGCTCCAGGACAGCCCTTCCCAGCGGGAGCGAAGCAGCCAAGCGGACGGAGAACAGGTGCGCTCTGCTCCTGGACAGGAGGGTTTTCCCTGAGCTTGGCTGGGGCCTTAGGCTTCCTTTGCTGCAGGAGGCCCCGCGGCCGGGAGCACCGAGTACAGAACTCTTAGCTAGCCCCACTTCGGTACCCAGATGGTCGCTTAAAGAGTTGAGACCTCCTTTCTCTGCCTCCCTTCCTAGCTGGAAAAGATGAATTAATTAATCAGCACTTCTAGATCCAACACGACAGCATAAGTTGCTTCCAGTAAACACTGAACTATTGTATTCATTTTCCCTGCTGCCCCATTTTCACCTGTGGCTCTGAGCCCCCAGGCAGGTGCCTGTATTAGAATCACAGAATCATAGAATCATAGAATGCTTAAGGTTGGAAGGGACCTCTAGAGATCCTCTAGTCCAACCCCCCTGCACACGCAGGGTCACCTAAAGCACGTGGCACAGGACTGCA